TCAAATGTCAGCTTCTCAAGTCACATCGGATTCCACTTCTTACTCATCTCAGTGTGGAACATGATGAAAAGTATTTGCTTTTGATCCCAAATTGAACCCAATTTGTTCACTTTGCACCAAGTTCAATCACATTGAACATTGACACACAAAAGCCAGTGTCCAGACAGTTTGATTGTTTCTATCCTTGTTTCTATCATACGTGTAGTTTATATCATACGTGTAGGTGTGCAGGGCCTTTCTATTGCATGGTGTTGCCATATGGCAACACCTGCTTCATCTCAATTTTACTAAAAGACAGTCATATAAAAAACATGTCATGCTGTTTAGTTGTGAAAAGGAAGGTATTTTGCTTTGATATGACACAATTGATCACATTACATGAACAGGAAATCCTGTTTACAGTTTACTAATTGTTGATATTCAGGCAGAATTCCTTCAACAAAAAAAATCATTACAACAAAACTACTTCTAGAAAACTAAAACTACCTGGGGTAAGTCAACATTTAATTTTCATCATTAAAACCAGTTTAGATGTAAAACTTTTTTTGTAAAAGGTTCAAATTAATTTGTTGCAATAACTTTATGTGAATGGAACTGAACTGTGTGCATTAAAGCAATTGGACTGTGATTGACTTAAATATAACTAGGCTAAGACTAACCCTTGATAACAAGGGAATAACGCCATTTTTATGATTATATCTTTTAATTTCAGACACTGCAACTGTACTGTATTATCTGGATCCTAAATTACATCACTGGCAATCATAGTTTTACCAGAAGAAATTGTGATACACCACCGAAATTGTAAGTTGGTCCACTTTTGTGTACATTTGAAGCGGCATCCTGCTTATGCATGGAGAACAAGGTGTCACAAAAGAAAAGGAAGCCCTCCACAAGCTGTTGTTTATTTATATTTACATTATTTAAGCAATTTTAAGTAAGAAAAATAAGAAAAAAGAGACATGTTTTTGAAACTGTGAAGTCCAATTTCTGTCATTGAGATTTGGGGGTTCAGCCAATCTAGCTGTTTGCATCACTTATTGTGAAAAATAGTAACATAAAAAATTCAAACATGAAACTAAAGTCTAAAGACTTCAAAGTGGCAACTGTCCACGTACCAACAGGCAATGTGACTGGTTGAGAGAGTTCTACCCATTAATGAGCTCAACTGTTGGCAGGTGAGGTACCACAGAGACTCCAGTCACATTAACATCAGAATATTAAGTGAATTTTGTTCACAATTTCACTGTCCTTTCAGCATGTTGTGTGTGTCATTAGGGTGAGAAAGAGACAATCATTCCCTCCAACTACAATGCTGCAGGTACCTGTACTGAAATCAACATCGCATTCTGCTTTATATGAAAATAGACACAAAACAAAAAGTTGAAACTGAGTGCTTCTGCTTGTGTAAGAAAAGGAAAGCTGTTTTTACGAAAGCTCTCACTGTAATCCCAGACTGATGCAAAAAGCACTGGCGTGCAAGTACCTCTGTTACAATTGTGTGAGAGTATGTTTGTGAGTGTTTGACCCGTGTGACTTCTGTTTTGCATTGCGTACTGTGTCACAAGCTAATCTGTATTTGGCTCAGCTCTGGTCAAGGGGGTGGAGGTTGTAGCCCCTGAGGTTGATCCACTCAGGAAAAGGGTCAGGGTCACACTAACCTGATGCATTCCTGCACTTTAACGTAAACACATTCTAAAAAACATGACATATTAAGTTACAGGTATTGAGTCAAGTATTCAATTATCAGTTTGACTTATATTACCCAACTTGGTAACACTTTAAAATAACTACACACTATGAAGCATCAGTTAAGTATGAGTAAACACTTAATTCATCATTTATAAAGCATTGTTCCTTCATTAACACTCATTAGTATGCAATTCAGAACAACAGTTATAAATGTTTTACTCTTGATTAATAAGCTCGTCTATTATGTGTTTCATGATTGTGTTTTCATACTTTATAAATAATGGATTCCCCATGAAGTATGAATAAATAGATGAAGTATTATATATTTTACAAACCAATTATTGAGGAGTTGTAGATGATTAATAAGATCATTTATAAAATGTAAGTAAAGGATTAAGAACTTATTTAGATGTACATTATTCATGCATTTATATATATATAATGATTTAGATATGCACTAATGGTTAGGGACTATGTTAATATATGCTTTATAAAAGCGTATCAATACTGCAATTCATGATTAATTCAGGTAGTTACTAATCATTAGTAAAGTATTTTGTGTGACCTCATCTAAAGTGAGCAGTATTTATGCCTTACAAAGCATTTATAAATGACATTGAAAGGCCATCACTGCCTCAAAACCCATAGTTTTTCATCAAAAAAGGCATAAAAAACCATGACCTCATAATAAGTGTAGGCCAGGCTCAAGGGTCATTAAAATGCTGTTGTTTTGTTGCAAACCGTTATCACAAATTGTGATACTATGCTACTGTGTGACCAATTTGCAGTCAGTTTGCTCTTAAACAACAATATGGCCAGATTAGTTCCCTAAACTTTTACCAGCATAATCCCGTTATAGTGATTAGTTCTTAAAATAAGTCTCTATTTTGTTACCAAACAGCCAATAGGATTAAAATGTTTAGAGGTTAATGTTTTGAAGTCCAAAGCCCCCTGAGCAAGGCTCAGCATTGATCCTAATCACATGTTGTAAATGGATTTGCATGTGAATTACTGTCATTACTTTGTGTTGACGTCAACAATAAATGTGACAAATTTCTCAAGGTGAGTTTGGTCACTCTCTGATGTCAGATATAGTTTTCTACAGATACTACAGTCTTCAGTTATAATTACAATGATATATTAAAATAATACAATTGTATATAAACTGAATATACTTCTTGACATGGTTGAAAAATTATTTTTACTTTTATATTTATTTTGTGGACTCTAAATGTATGTTTGTAAATGTAAAATGTAATTACTTTCACCCCTATTGCAAAGAAACTGTACATTCTATTAACTTATTGCCTTGTTCTGTTTATTTGAAGCATTTCACTCCAAAGTATTGGAGCTCTATAATGGAAGAAGTGCTGCATGAAATCTTTAAGTAGATAGCTCCAAAACTCACTTACGCCAGACGACGACAACTAAATCTAAGTAATTCCTGTAAATGCAGCCGTGAAATAGACTTTTTCAAGCACCACTTGAGAAAAATAATAATGTGGTACAAAACCAATACTGATACTGTTTTTTTAGGTCAATTTATAAACTGTCTCTTGTGTTTCAGGTTACCCTTTACATAAACCGAGGAACATGTCCGAGTGTGTCCTTCACCCTACCTGCTGACACCTCAGCCTCACTGCAGCAAATGATCTTGATCGTTAGGCCATTGCTCTCGGTTGTATCTGTCATTTGACCTTTTGGTGTTGTGTGGTTATCCAGTGTGACTCCCACCTGACTGATCTTGCACTCGCTGGTCAGAGGTCTAGGCCTTGTTCGGCATGTTTATGAAGATAGCCAGGGGTCAAGGACTGTGTTTGTCTGTCTTGTGACAAAAGAAGAAACAAGGGATAGGAATCCGGTAATAGATGAAAGACGAGAGTGGAGATGAAAGGAGGGGTTATCTGGTTCTCTGCCGAGCATATCGATCTGTTTGCGTTTTCATGGGGTGAACGAGTTTGTTGTCATGGCAGAAATGCTGAGGTGTCGGCTGCATCGCACGCACTGTGGAAGTGTTGGAGCAGAGACTGCACTTAAATTAGGGTTCAAGAATTAGAGGTCAGCGTTTGCCTGTGGCAGTAAATCCCCCCCATAAAAAAACGCAGAGAGCTTGTGAACCACATGAATGGAGGAGAGCTTTGAAATCATGAATCGTCAGCAACTTACCCACAAAGTGTGCTGATGCTGCCTTCTTGTGGCCCATGCAGAGTACTGTATCTGAACGTCACATTTTAAAACATTTTAAACCAACAAACGAAAAATATCACCTATCATAAATTAAGGAGGATATTCTACAAATCCTTTTATTGCATTGAGTACACAGTATGGGATCTGGAAAATATTCAAAGGTTCATGCAGTTCTTTTTGTTCTGTGTTTATTAGGTAAGATTATTCCCCACTGTAATCAAGTCTGTTAACACTACTGATACTGTATATACTCATGGAGCATTTAATCACAACCAAGCAACACAAACAAATACAGGTTATGGTCAGTGTAGAGTAACCGCTGTAACATTAACACAAGAAATAGCTTGCTTCTTAAAGTAGCTCTGAATGGGACTATGCCTGGTATCCAGAGGCCTTCCTCCTACTGAACAAGACTGAGGATCTCCAAATACTGTATATTATGGGATTAACAAAACCCAAACATGTGTTAAGAGCTTTTAAAGCATGTCAACTTGCATAGAAACTTATAAATACAATCCTCATCTGTCTGTGTTTGACTCTGATGTAAAGCGATGACATGATGACCCTTCACTCTTTTGTGTTAGATCGACAGAGATAACAAAAGTAATTCAGAACATGAGCAAAGTAGCAGGTAGATGTTATGTGTAAGTATATATATATATATACACATGTGCATTTCTTTGGGATCACAAACATTTGGCTCACGTAATGTGAGAAGAGTAAATCCTCGAATGCACAAGCTGTTATACACAACGTTCTGACAGAGCAAAGGTACAGGATTTATTTTTTTGTTGGTCTATTTCTTTTTGTGCATCTGTTCTAGATCGACAGGGTTGTGCAACGATATACATGCAGACGTCACAAAACACACACCACTTCCAAGCAGCTCAAAACCATTCATATATGTACACTCACACACACACGCACACACACACCGCCGATGCTCTTTCAGTGCTGTTTTGTTTGTTGATAAGGCGCTGATTGTCAGACTTCGATACACTGTTTTTGGATCAATGGAATCTCAGATACACTAAAGTCCAACATAYTCTCMTMARKCTTATWAWTRAAAATGGACTYWRT